GCGACACGGCTAGAGAGGGAACACAAGCAGGGGGAGTGGGAGAGGGAAAAGCAGGCTTCCTGCTGAGCAGGGAGCCCGATGTGGGGCTCGATACCAGGACCCTGGGATCATGACCTGAGCCGAAGGCAGACGCTTAGCGACTGAGCCACCCAGGCCCCCCTGAGCAGGGAGCCCGATGTGGGGCTCGATCCCAGGACCCTGGGATCATGACCTGAGCCGAAGGCAGACGCTTAGCGACTGAGCCACCCAGGCACCCCGATTTGTTTTGTTCTTTACAGCAATCTTTTATTTAATATTCTCTTCTAAAAGTGTCATACACATCTATGGTTTCAATTACCACCAGGTATTGAGACCTCTAAATGTATAGCCCTGGGCAGGTCACATCACTGAGTTCTAAAATTCATGCTTGGCATCTTCTCCTAAATCTATAAAAGTAACTGCACACTCCACAGGTCCAAACTGAACATACTATATTCTAGTCTTATGTACTCTTCTTATCCTAGGAGTCAAGGACATAATTACTCATCCAGCTATTAAAATCATAAACCTATCAGTCATTCTTAAGCTTTTCTTATCCTTTTCTGCATAGTATTATTATTATTAGACTATTATTCTCTACATTATTCATCACCAGGTTCTTCAACTTTACATTCAAAGATCTCAAGTCAATTTACTTTTCTCCACTTCACAAACAGCATCCAGGATCAAACTGCAGGAACTGCAAATTGGCGTATGCCAATCTCTTCAGATTGCATGCTGCCTGAGGGACCATTGCAAAGTGTGTACTTGGTTGCCACTACCCATATCTCTCTCACAACTGAAACTGAAATTTTTGTCAGTTCCTTCTCCATTCTAGGCACATGAGCTCTCATATTCACAGGGTCTTTGTATGAGCCTTTCTTCTAAATGGAATTCTCTCAACTACTTTCTTTGGTGAAGGCTGCTCCTTTTTCAAACCTCAGATTAAATCACCTACTTAAAAAAATCACCTCCTCCAACCACTGTAACCAAATCACATCCCTCAATAAAAGTTTTTATTTTTTAAGTCAAGTGTAATCTTTTTGTAATATTTATACAATTATTTCTATATTGTTTTCCTAAGTTCACAAGGGCAGGAGGGATATTCAATTTTTTGTTCCCCATTGTAAACTAAATGCTTAATACAGAGTCTGATTATAACAAAATCTCCACAAATACTTGCTGAATAAAGGAAGAAAAAGTAAGAAGGGCTGTGGATAAACTAAACCTTTTTTTGTTTGAAGCGTAAGCATACCAAATCTACCCATAGGTAAATAAGTAAATATTAACATGAATTACTTAATCTTAATGAAATTGGGGGAAAAAACCAACTTTTATCTTGTAGTCAGTAATGGACTTTCTTAAGTTAGATAATGAAAATTAAAAAAATGACAAGCAATAACATAATGGATATTGATGTATTCTCAATTGTCCTGCATTATTAAACCTATTTTGCTATCATTTTTATTTCCAGTGACATTCATAGTAGTGTAACATGCATCAACATAATGCATGCTCTTTTGGAATTATGTTATCTACATTTTAAATCCCAAATTTATGAATGTTTAATAGAAACGTTTTCTAAAGCAAAGAGACTAGTTATCAATTATTTAGTAAAAAAAAATGCAGGTGGTAATTTGTCACATAGTTTTTCTCTAGAAGCTCTTAGAGAATTTTATAAAATATTTAGAATTTGATGAAATATAAAGTATGAGAATGGTAGTAGTAATGAGACAAAACATTTCTAAGATGATTAGAAACTTAATATAATCATCATATGCTCACTTTTTGGATGGTAGGAAGGACAGAGAAGAAGTAGGCATATTTGGATTGGCTTTCAAGAAACTTGTGATAACCTATGTACAAAATTTTTGGCCAAGACATAGAATTTGGTATCTCCAGTTCATTGCTCTGTACATCATAAACACTGACTTGCTTACAATCATGAAAGTGGCCAGTGCGATTGGCTCCATTTCTATTATTGGATTCTAGGAAAAGATTGGCATAAAGCTCTATTTATAGGCAGATATTGCCTAGTGGTGAAAGTTATTAAGCTCAGCAGTGCATTTGAGAATATAGTCCCCATCTGCTACTTCACTGAGCCATTTACAAGGCACTAGAATTTTAAGGGGATGGATGCACAAATACAAAAAGAAGAATGCTCAGATATCTCTGTACCTTAAAAAGGCAATTTTTTTTTTTTTGGAGCAAATCACAAGGGGATAATGTTGAATAGGGTAGGAGCTGATAGTTTGGAGCAAATCTGGATAGAGTGATATATAACAAACATTTTGCCTGTTGTACACATGCACTCATCTATTCAATTATGAGTTGGACACCTGAGTCCTAGACAATAGAGCTAAAAAGATAAAATTGCAAACTTAGTTTGATTATTACTTGCCTAGTGAAGGAAGCCAACCATATAATAGAATGCACTGAATGCCATGATAGAGATGAACACAGGGTGATAGAATCTCTGAGGAGAGATTTCCTAACTAGGAGACACTCTCTAACTAGGGAAATTTGGAAATGGTTTCTGTTCCTTGAATTTAAGGGTGGGGGGGAAAGTAAGATTCAGTACATAAAGGAAAAGAGAAAGGCTGTTCCAGACAGGAGAAGCTTCATGTGCAAAGGCCAAGAGAGAGAGAGATCCCAGAGGGCAAGAGATGGAACCTACAGAATTATTGACTCTATCATAGTTGAAAGATGTGATTCACTCACTCAGGTATCTTGTCAGTATTATATGCCTAGCAGTGCATTGTCTTCATCCTTGAATTGTATATTAGTTCACAGTTTTAATTTTTTACATATATCATCATATTTTCATGAGTGTCCATGAAGTAGACAAGGACAGTATTATCCTTATATTTCTCTCAAGGGATGATCTCACTAATGAAGCTAAAACCAGACTCTTGAGTTTATTAGAATAGTCATTAATTTATTCATTAAGTAAAAAAGTATTAAGCACACAGTCATTGTCTAGGTGCTGGAGATAGAGCAGTGAAGAATACAAGTTTCCTCCCTCATGGAGCTTCCATTCCAGAGAAACATTACCACTTACCTATTTACCTGCCCACCTGCATGCATACACACATATACCGCCCAAAAAATGCATACCTGCCTGAAGTTTGGTATGTTGGATGCATTAGGTGCTATGGAGAGAAACAGGAAGTAGGTAAAAAGGGATGAGGGATTCAGATAGAGCTGGATGATCGATTCCAAGATCTCCCTCTACTTGGGTAAATGGGAAGCACCTCACTGATAAGGTGACATAGAGACAAGATACCAAAGAGATAAAAGAAAGAACCAGACAAAGGGAATAAAAAGTGCAAAGGCCTTGGAGCAGGAGCATGCACAATGAGGAAACAGGAGAACAAAAGGAGAGGAGATCAGAAAGAGAGTGGAGGGCCAGATCACCTGAAAGAGTTTGTAGGCCATTTTATTATTTATTTATTTATTTACTTACTTACTTATTTATTATGTTAATCACCATACATTACATCATTAGTTTGTGATGTAGCGTTCCATGATTCATTGTTTGCCTATAACACCCAGTGCTCCATGCAGTACGTGCCCTCTTTAATACCCATCACCAGGCTAACCCCCCCACCCCTCTCCCCTCCAGAACCCTCAGTTTGTTTCTCAGAGTCCATTGTCCCTCATGGTTCATCTTCCTCTCCGACTTCCCCCCCTTCATTCTTCCATTTTAAAGACCTGCAGAAGAAACCATAGCAAAGCCTTTCTTTCACCGTACGTATAATCACTTTTGCTAATCCAATAGGAAAGAACTCAGTGTTTTGTCAGGCAAGTCCATTTCCTTAATGTTTCCCCTGGAGCAAAAGGAAAGCAATCTATATGTATAGCTTCCATCATTTAATTTTCAGAAAATAATTCTATTGATTTAACATGCTACTAGAGTTTTATTAAAAAATCATCAAATGGGCATTTGTGTTTGTGTATTTTTGGAGGGGTGAACAGTGAAGATGGGAAGTTTGAATTAAATGATTTTCAGTGGATTCCTTCCAATTTTGCAGCCTTTTTGTTCTGTGTTTTTCAGTAAATTTATGTATACATCAACAGAAATGTATGTTCAAATAACCAGAGTTGCTGAGTGAAATATTTCAGAAAAAATATATTAAAAATTGTATGTTTTTTGTAAACCATTCATTAAAGAGCTTCTTATGGTAGTCCAAATGAAAGAGACAGAAAGGAGAATGATGGAGAGTAAGGCAGGGAGGAATGGGAAGTTATTATTTAATGGGCACAGTTTCTCGTTGGGAAACATGAAAAATTTCTGAAGCTAGTTGGTAAAAATAATTCACATTATTTTTAGAGATAACCGTTTCACAAACCAATTCTAAATCAAAAATAGTATAACCCATGCTTGAATTAGCAATGGTTGGCAGCACAAAGCACAATCTCGAGATTGTTATATGCACTTTTGTGTTTTAGAATGAGGAGCCGGTGTTTTCTAGAGATGGCAGTAAATTCTTTATGACAGTTCCTGTTAAGCAAGGGGGCCGTGGAGAATTTCACCACATAGCGATGTTTCTCGTCCAGGTAAGTGCTGGCTTCTTTTCTGTTTGGTGTCATTGCTGTCATGCTCACGAAGGTACAATTCTTGTGGCATATTCTGAACCTACAGTTAATGCCTATGAAGTCCAGCCATATATTTAACCCAAGGACTAGGTTTTAGGAAGAGGATCCCCTTCCATAGCTATAAATTCAAACTGTAGCTTCCCACAAAACAGTCTCAACTGAACTCAAAGAATTTAGTACGTCACACACGCATACTAAAAGGTGAGAGCCTTGGGATATAGAATTGAATACATGAAAATTTTATCCAACCCCTACTTTCATAGACTTGAGGACAAACTAGAGAAAATTTTTCATTCAACAAATATATATTCCTTATTTTGTACAAGCAGTATTTTCAAGGTGCTATAAATGTTTTAAATACTTGAAGCAAACTAAATGTCCATCAAAAAGTTGAATACATCATCGTATATATACCCTTACAAGGAAATAAAATGCAGATTTGAAAAACAAGATATAGAGTCTGTGCTATATTTTTATAGGCAGTCTGATAAAAAGAAGGAAAGGGTTATTTTTCCTTTAAATTCCAAATGAGTTAACAGTTAACAATTTATACAGTTTTATCCAACTATTAAAAAATTAGAGAATTCAGAAATGGTTGAAATAAGACAAGGTTAATGAGTCAATTTGAATGTAATGGTCAATAACAAATATTCACAAGAACTAGTTTCCTTCACAATCAAATAAACATTCTAGTCTCATGTAAAAGATTATTTATAAAGATAAAACTTTGTGGATAAATTGGAATCCTCTAGAAGAGTTTACAAACCAACTAGCTAAGAATCAATTTCATACTTACAAAATATAGAGTAAATATAAATGTGCCTAAATATCCCTAAACAACCTGGCTACTTTTATGCTGTTGGAACCTTCAAACCTTGTGCATATTCTCAAAATTTTATCATTATCTACATACATATTTAGGTTCAGCTACTCAGTGCCTTGAATTCTCAAAATCTTGTGTTGGTAGTTTAAAATTTAACACTTGTCTAAGGTCTGTACCTATTAAAATAATTGTCATGACTTTAATTTTAATCAAAGCTGAAATAATTTGGAACATGTATAATTTCTACAATAGAGATGTAGATTAATTTTCAGTCTATCATTAAGTTGGAAAAACAGGTTATAGACTAATATATAATGTGATCTCATTTCTGTCCTAAATAAATGTATCTATTTATATATGCATAAACTTTCTGACAATTTTATATCTATTAAAGTGATTATATCAGATAGGTAGGACACAGGGAACTCTTTTTCTTTTTTCCTTTCTTTTTTTAAGATTTTATTTATTTTGACAGAGAGACAGCGAGAGAGGGAACACAAGCAGGGGGAGTGGGAGAGGGAGAGGCAGGCTTCCCGCTGAGCAGAGAGCCCGACATGGGGCTCGATCCCAGGACCCTGGGATCATGACCCGAGCAGAAGGCAGATGCTTAACGACTGAGCCACCCAGGTGCCCCTTTCTTTCTTTTTTTTTAATGTGAACTGGAAGAAGCTTCACTAGCAAATTGCTCTACCTGACTAACTCTTGCGAGCTAATAGTAAACTTTGTTATCATAAATAGTAGGAAGATATTTTGGCCAAAAATAATAAATCACACTTTCCCAATCTTAAAATTGACTGTGACATTTTAGTAAATTTTTAAACCTCAGTATTTTATATTCAAGAAGTTGTGTGAAAACCCAGGTGATCAAAATTACATACAAATTGTACATATTTATAAGATAGGGAATGAAGGATAGGGAAAGATGTGTAATACATCTTTATATATACAATTCCAAGAAGACAATCTATTCAAGTTAAGAAAAGAAATAGTGTCTTTTAAAAAGTGTGGGATTGGCAGGGAATGGGGGTGCTGATGCGGGCATGTAGGAATTGAGGTATTTATGAACCTAATAGAAGTTCCTTTATAAGCCTTGGGAAGAAATACCTTCTGCCCCCTATCAAATGATCCTGACATGCAGTCTAATTCATTATTTCTGAAATGTTCAGAACAACTTCATAGAGCACGTGTGTTTACTTTGTTCCTCTTCTATATGAAGATTATAACAAAGCTTTCATTGAAGTAGAAAATATTTTGATCTATTCTGGTTGCAGTTTAGAGAATCTGTGGTTTGCCTCACTGAGAAATAAACATGACTGCCTGATTATTTATGGATATTTTGGCAATGCAGATGAAATTAATCTACTTTGTTAATGAGTTAGAGGTTAGTGGTTAGACAAATATAAGTTATACCTAAGTCTACACACCCACATAATCTTAGAAAATATTTGAATTCCTTTGCCTCAATTTTTTAAATAGTAAATACAAGAAAAGCTCTTTTATGACTTTTATGATTACCAAATTGACGCATATTCTATAAAGATTTGTACAATTCTAAACTGAATGAACTGAACTAATTTAAAATCAAACGCAATCTCGTCACCCCACACTCTCACACTATAAATCAATTGGTGTATATATATATATTTCTAATCCCTTTTAACATTGAAAATATTTGATTTTCCCCTAAATATTACAACCAAAGCACATATATGTATTTGTAATATTTAAAGGATAATTTATAAGCATTTTCATATCATTTATTATATTCTTAATATTTAATATTATTCTTAAGTATGTTTTAATAGCTGTTCAACATTCTGCCAAATAGATTTAGTATACTGTTTTTAAATGAATCAATTTTAATCATCATTAAAGTTACTCTAATTTTGATACTAGAAATTATTCAGAGATAAACATTCTTATACATAAATACTTATTTGTGATTATTATCACAAAAATATATTTTAAGATATAAAAGATACCTAGGCAAAGCATATATGTACATACATATTTGTTTAGGTTTTGACATGGAGTTCCAAACTGACTCTCCAAAAATAGTATAATACTTTACAGTCTAAACAGTAATGCATGCTAACATTGATGACTTTTTACCCTTTCTTTCTTCCCTTGACATGCTGAAAGTGAGAACTGACAGGAACAGAGGGTTTGACAGCTAACAGTCAGGATGACCACCCTTGTAGTATTTGATGCTTACTATATTTGAGAGCTTCCTCACCGACTGAAAATATATTTATTTGTTTGAAGTATCTTACTAAATGAAATTAGTAAATTTTTGCAAACATTTTCCTCTCTTTCACAATGAATAGGTAGATAAAAACTATTAATTAGAGGCCAGGCTATAAAATTACTCTTTCTGGCTATTTCATTATAAAGTGTGATGGTTGTCAATATAAATATTTTAGTGTTTTTTTTTCTCACTTAGAAAGGTGATTGATCCTTACTAATGTAATTTCAAAAAACAGAAGTAGAAAGAATTTATGTAGTTTCCTCCTTTTAGACAAGTTTATAATTTTATGTAAATTAGAGTATTTCATTCTGATATTTTAAATTATAATTATAAAGCATACTTTTCCCATAATGCTACATAATTTTGAAAAACAATTCTTTAGAAGATTAATATTTAGTTGACTGGATGTAGATACTTAACCAGTATTATTCAGTGTATAATTCAGTGGCAATTTGCTGTAATTATATCTGTCACTGTACAAAAAGCTACTTTATATTGATTATTTAGTTTTGATTAACAAAACTGGAATTCCTGCATCGAAAGTAAAATATTTCTAAGCTTATATATACATACACTAATATATATACACATATATCTATATGCATACATATATATTATTTTTTATTTCTAGATTACTTTCAATATGAATATGTGATAGCAGAATTTCTCTACTTTTATATGTTGCATTAGAGACAATATTAATAAAAATAAAAATTGGCTTTTCAAAAAATCTATATAAAGTAATTGTTCTTTTGAGTAGGATATGCAATATTAATATCAATCTTTGTAGTTCCTGAATCACACAGTGATGCAGAACTTCTTTACCTCAGATCATTAAACTTGTGATTGCTTCATAAATTTTCCCCTTCCTCATCCCTCTGTGGTATTCCTTATGTAGACCTTTAACTTCTGAGTTGCCCTATCTGGAACTCTAATATCCCTGTAATGCAGGCTGCAGTTACGTAAAAGGTTTTTGTCAAAGACATGGCTACCTTTTTCTCTCAAATATGGAATAAGCAGAATTTCAATCATGTTAAGTGGTTCAAATTCATAAACATAAAGAATTGCCCTGTCATCTTCCTAAATTGTGTTAAATGAAAAATTATATATGTTGGTGAATCCATTCTCTTTCTCTATGCAGCAATAGAAAATTTTGCTCATGAGAGCTGATGATTTCACTTGGAACAATTTTAAATGCCATTATTCATTACAAATACTGTAGAAAATGGCATGCCCCCAATTCACAATTCTATCATCTAATCAACCCAATAAATTTTTTTCATTAAATTTTACTATTGCATCTGATTAGCACATTGTCTGAAAACAATTAGCTCACCTCATGTGATAGACAGTAAATTAAAACATGCTAATTTAAGCACTACAATATTTCACTTATTTAGAAGCTGTAGAAGTTCAATAGAATTTAATATAAGAAATTTGAATGAGCAGTGTGTAATCAGGTAAAAAGCACATGCATTATTAAATTTTCACTGATACTAGTATCTTTCAAATTTTTAAATAGAAATACAAGATTAATATTTAATTTTTCTGAGTAAGAGAAAATCTATACCAATTCGAGGAGAGGTATCTGATGTCTAATTGTGTCTGATGTCTTCTTCTCAAATTTTATTTTATTTGGGAATAAAAACACTTTATCTGCATCCTAGATTGTCATCTCCCTAGTGAAGGAAATTATTAGTTTTATTGATGTTTACTCTAAAATTAAAAGTGAAATATGAGTTTAATTTAAAGTATGTTGCCATGTTGCCCTTGCCAAAAGTCCACCGTGCTTTTATATTCACACTCATTTTTTCTGTCCTACCAAGTTAATATAATAGAGACCATAGTTGCATGGAAAGAAATATTGTGCAGTAAAAATGATTATTCTTT